AATAATCTGGGAGAGAATGTTGGCAGCGTTAGACTCACTAGGCCGCGGGCCACGTGTTCTGGGCTTCTGGCGTACCATTGCGTCTTTAGGGTTTGAACTTTATCAGTGTCAAACATTTTATTGGGGTATACTTTTTCAACCTGTTATTCTTTTTTGCATCCCTTTGCTCTGGCCCTCGGTGATTAGCTTCAACTAAAAAAAAGCCGTGGTTATCTCTATTAGCGGCCAGAAGTTGGTAGGGCTATCGTTGGATCCGAAAAATGGGGCAAAGTCGTCGAGTTGGTGAATTTTGTGTCATCGATTTTTTGTGTGTGATTGAATTTACTTAGATCAGACAAGAATTTGAAAAGAAATTGTCAAACGAGTTAGAAGTCATGGAGTGTGTACTCGTTCAATGATATTACGAATTTATGGCAGGGGTCCGGGGGTGGCAGGTCCCAGTAGCGGGGTCCAATGGGCGGCAGCCCCTGGCGAGGTCCAAGGGGCAGAGCCTCTTGGCCGGGTCTAAAATATTAGAAAATCCCGGGCTTCGGATAAAAACCAGTTTCGACCAAACTCTGTGAATGTTTGCGTCCAAAACATCGAAAGTCTGCGTTTATCCTTACCGCGTGAAAGTTTGCAAACTTGTACGCGAAAAATCAAGTCTGATCGTCGATTTTCATCTCTCTAAGTAGAGACCCTCGGGTATGATTGAGGATATCATTTGAAAGGTTTGTTCTTGGTTAACGTCTTATTCGATTAAAGTACTCGTATTTCGTATACTCAAAAATAACTTTGATCTGGAAGCGTTCTACGCGATTCGTTATAGTCTATCAAGTTGTTTTTCTCGTTCTTTGTTAATGCTGCTCTGCATCGGTCTTTCTCCATTCCAATTTCTAACACGTCGCACATATGCACCCCCTGCAAATAAGTGTTTAATCTAGCGGAGGTGACATACCTTAGCACTGCATCAATGTCTGACTGCTCAAACGAGAAGTTATTGTCGCCAGAATTATTTTTTGTGTCGTAGACAAAAAGTGATAGTGATCTTTGCAAAGATTTTCCGTTGAAGAACGAACATCGTGTGATATGATCAGCATGTGCATGTCGAAAGCTGTAACGACAAAGAGCAATAGTGAGCTTTCTAAACCAGTTGCGGAGTCTCAAGCAATTCAGAGATTTCTTTAGTAGGATACGCATCTTATGGCGATTTAGCCAAAAACCATTCATAATTACGGATGATTTATTTGTAGGTACATGAAATGGTGAAGATGGGAGCATTTATTTGGAGAATGGCAACACTAAGAATACTACCTCTACGATAGTGATATATTTCATACTCTCTCCGTTTGGAAAAACTCTTCCCATTTGATTTGGGGACAAAAATAAAGAAGTGTTAAATTATAACTGATTTCCAATGTTGCCCCTGATGTGATGAGTAAAAGTAAGATGTGATGGATAGATTATTAGAGAAAAAGTATGATGTGGCCGTGACATATTGGTTTTTCCTTTTTCCCCAATTTCCCACCCACTCTGTCTAGGGGTGGACACGGTACCGGTACGGTACCGTGACCGGAAACGGTACCGCCGGTACCGGTACCGTTACCGTCGGCCGGGACGGTCCACCGGTTCCGGGAACCGGTACCGGTACCGCCCACTCCGGTACCGGTTCCGGTGCCCATTTTTCGGTACCAGCACCAGCGGTACCGGTTCCGGTTCCGGTACCGTAATTAATTTTTTTTTTATTTCTTTTTTATTTTTTATTTCATTCTTTCCTTTATTAATTTCATTTTTAGAGTTTTTTATTTCATCCTTTCTTTTAACAATTACACATTTACAATTCTACACTTTAAAAATTCAATAAAAAAGCAAAAAAAAAAATATGGGTGGCCGAAACGGTACCGGAACCGGTACCGGTACCGGTACCAAGGGGTGGCGGTACCGGAACTGTACCGTGTCCACCCCTAACTCTGTCCCCCTCGTAACTTTTGCAATCCAACCATATCCCTATTCTCCAGACGCCAATTCTCTTCTTCTTTTATGTTGGGAGTTTTTATTCTGTCTCGGTACATATTTGGAAAACAATATTTTAAGTGAGTACTCCCTTCGTCCACAAATAAACTTTTCGTTTACTATTTATAGGATCAAACTTTATTCACTTTGTTGGCCTATTTTCGTCACCCATTTGATAAAATAATATAGTCATGTCACCTCTAATTGTGTAGATCTTTTGATATAGTTTTTTAAAATGCAATTTTTTTTAAAATTTTACACCATTTTTCATATAAAATTATTTGAAAATAACTTCAGTCAAACATCGTAGCGCGCAATGAGTAGTTTATTTGTGGACGGAGGGAGTACTACTTTCTCCATCTCTTAAAGTTTTTTCCTATTGACTTTTTGAGAATTAAAAAAAATGTTTGTGTGTTGACTTTTTTGATAAAAAAATATCTTTGATGTGATAGATAAATTATTAGTAAATGGTATGATATGATAGGTAGAATAATAATTAATTGGGGTAATAGTAATATTTTAATATAGAAAAGAAAAAGTGTTTATAGGACATGAAAAAAAGAAAGGGTGAAGAGTTTAAAGCCATAATTTATTACGGTATTTGGTTTAATGTGTGAACTTGAAAGAATGGGCATGCAACAACTAACATTTGGGCTTTATTTGGTATACGGAATTCAAATCATGAAATAAAAATTGGAGATTTGAATTTCAATTCTGTTATTCAGTAGCGCAAAGTATGTAAATTTGAAATCAGTAGTGTAAAAATGAATTGAAATGGAAGAATTCAATTAAATCCAAAAAAATTCAATAGAATTTCAATTTCAATTCTATCAATTTACCAAATGCACCATTAGTTTCAAGAAAAAGAATGCAATGTGCATGCATTGGGTGTGGGTTAAGGAGTATATCATTATCATCTCTGCAGCTGCAAAGGTTGGTCCATACCTCATGTCCTTCCTCTGAATGAAGGCAGCATATATATATATATATATATATATATATATATATATATATATATATATATATATATATATATATATATATATATATATATATATATATATAGACACACACACATACATACATACATAGATGCACACGCATTAAAGTGGCGGGGGCCCAAATCCCAACCTGAACCCAGACTTAAATTACCATACCTGCCTCTATCTCTTCCACTTTTCTTTTCTACACCCTGTGGGGCTTGACCTGGCTAGGCTTGGTTTGGCTTTGCTGGCCAAACGCTTAAGGCCAGGATTCAAATGATTCTTTATTTGTATTATTTTTTTGTAAAATAAAAAAGTAGTGTAACTTGGCTTAGCATGGCATGGCTTTGCCCCCGTGATTAGCTCCCAATTCTGCTGCACTAACGTACGTACGTACCCCATATGTACATGCATGCATGTCTGCGTTCGCATGCAGAAAATGAATGAGGGGTCCAAAGTTCAATTCTGTGGCGATAATGAGTAGTGGGAGTTTCAAGTAGCGCGCAGCTTGAAATCATCATGCAATTGTTCACAACTGCTTTTGAAGTGCATTATTATTGACTGAGGTCCTCAAGTAAATTATCTTTTCCACTTCCTCCATCATAAAAATTGTGACATAATTTTATTACTCTCTCGGTCCATACCAATGATCTTCTCATTACGCGTTATGAGACTTGACATATTTTATTTTCAACTTAATTTATTTCATTGTAAGGGTAAAATTTAAAAATAAAACTTATATAGTGAAAAAGTAAATAAAAATTACTCAAAACTAAGCTAGTGGTAAAAATACGCAAACAAAGTGAATTAAATTTGACCATGTAAATAGTAACAGAGAAAATTTATGACAGACGATGAGAGTATTATATGAGAGAGTTGTTCTTTGAGTCTAAAGTATCCCTTATCATACTTTTTAGAAAAATGCTAGGTGTATCCATATGTATCTCACCCCTCCCTGTCCACATAAATTGGTAAGAAATTCAAAAAATAAAAAAATAAATAAAAATGGGTGGTGGAAAAGGGATGTTGGACATTTGGGGTACAACTTTGACATACCCCTAGCATTGTTCTACTTTTTACCAGCTTGGAAGTGATCTTCTCCTTTTTACAAGAGGCTCAATAATTTCATACTCCCTTCTTGCCTAAAAGATAACCATAGGCTCAAAGTATATTTAGTTATAATAATATAAATTTAGTAAAATTGGGTTTATTTTAAAATATAGTTTTGAAATATCAAATTTTTATAATATTTAATTATTTTAAACCATATTTAATTCGTGGAATGTCACACTTTGTTCAAAAAAGTCAACGTGTGGCAATTTTTTAAGGACAGAGAGAGTTGTAAAACTTTGGTCTATATAAAACACATCTATATTTTCAATTTTGGTCAAAAAATGTTACAATTTGATCAAAAAATCAAAATGTGACAATCTTTTAGAAACAAAAGAATCAACAAAAGTTTGGTCCATAAGTAGAGTATATATATATCTCCTCCCCTCAAATGACCGTCCGGCAAGTGGTTCATCCCTCCGTCCCAAATTATTTGCAACGTTTTCTTTTTCAGCTGTCGCGAGAACTTTTGTTTATTTCTACGTTTTCATTGGTTATTTAATAAAATAAAATATTCTTGACACCTCTTATTTCGAATAACTTTTCATGTAGTTTTTTGATATGTAAATTTTATTTTTTTATTTCTATGTCAATATATAAATAAAATGAATTGAAAAAACTTAATATTTTGCCTCAAAAATACAAGTGTGGCAAATATTTAGGGACGGAAGTAGTATATTACTAGTACAACAAGATTCTATCTCTCTCACTATCTCTCTCTCCCTCATTTTCTCTACAGCAGTCAGCAGCAGCAGCAGCAGTAGTCTGTGAATACACACATGCATGCAGGTCGTGGTCAGAGTGAAAATCCAATTTCAACCTTCCCCACGTACAGACCATTTATAATAATAATAATAATAATAATAATAATAATAATAATAATAATAATAATAATACTCGGTACGTATATATACATATGTAGGAGTATTTTGAATTGGAAATGAATAATGAAGCGTACGTAGTGTAGTGTGAATTGGAGTGTACCCAGGTAGTACTGCGTATTATAGTACAAAATTGTCAATCATGTGTTGTATAACATCAGCTCCATCTGAATTTAAACAATATGTCTGTACCTGTAGTTTTTTTTGTTTGTGAATAAAGATAAAGAATCTGTCATTAAATACTCCTATTACATATATACTCTTATAATTAGAATTTTACAGCGGAAAAACAGAGACCTGAATTGCATTATGGGCGAAAAATCTTTGTTTGCTCCCCCGAAAACTAACATCCACACGGTCCCAACTCAACTTCGTAGTCAAGCCTTTGATCATAGCTTCTGCACGCACATATTTAAATGCATTTCACGTCGATCACCACGATATGTATACATCAGTTCAGCACTTTTTAGTTCAGAATGTTAATTTAAGTGGAAAAGATTAGTAGTAAGCGGCCGATGTAATAATAAAAATTAACCTTCAAAATGAGTAGCCTTGTGTTTGGTTCTAGCAATCACCACAGAGCCTTGGCTTTGCTGGGAGGTACTATTCTTTGCTGCTGCTTCTAGATTCACAATGTGTGGATACTTTTCAATTATACTTATCATGATGAGATTCTTACGCTGAAAAAAGAGGCATTATTATATTTCAGCCGAGACAATTCCCATATATACATATAATTCACAGTTTAGCAGTGACATATTATAAACTTCATAGTAAATAGCAGCAACTAATTCTACTCCCCGCAAGTACTATTGGTTAGTTAATTGTACCTTTGGAAGCTCGTTTGTTGGCCGTATTGATGATGTACTCCACCCAACAATTTCTGTTATCTCTACTGTTAAGGTTATGTTCGTTATGCATACTCAAAGACAGGGTATGTGTATAGCTATGTGATCTGACACAAGACGGGGAAGTATATAGTGAATGATGTTTTGTAAAGCAAGAACCCAAAGTAGAGATTTTACAAGATTTTAGCTGTATTTGATTGATGAAACTTAACACCAGAAATTAAGTTGATGTTTGGGAAAAGCTGTTTGCATTATTTTGTTAGCTCTACGCGTTAAATGTTTGAAATGGAGTTGTTTTGATTTGGCCACTTTTCACTGAATTAGACCTTTAGTTGTTTATGCAGATACAGACATATTTGGTTCTCCGTTCAGTTATAATGCACCACTGGACTAAAAATATATGTGAATGCACAAATTAAACAGTTAATATCTTTAATTATTCAATCATGTTTAAGAAAGAAAATTATAAAAAAGTTGGCATTAGCCTTTTTCTTTTTGGAAAAGCAGCCTTTTCTTTTTGAAAATTAGCTTTTTGAATTGCTCATTAACAAGCATTCAAAGTAGCTTTTTGACATATTCTAAAAGTTAAAAAAGCACTTCAAAAGGGTCTTTACAAAACAGGGGCAAAGTCCAGGAGCAGGAGGGAATATGTCCTCAATACTTACCAATAGAAATCACAAAAACTAAAAATTAAAGTAATATTTAATACGGAGTAAATTGTATTCCAAATACCCCTAACCTCATATGTCAAGAACATTTGATTACTATCTGATCTTCCACTACGAAGATAAAAATCAAATATGCGTAATACACAGGAAAAAATAAAAGCCTTATCGTAAGACACCGAGAATAAAATGAAGGGAAGTTCCCTAGCTGAAGATAAAAACTGTATAAACAAAGGATACGGTCGAAATGTATATTTGCATAAGCCACGCGACGCTTGAACGCTTCCAAAGCTGATCTGGTAATAAGAGATTTGATGTTTATTAAGAAAAGGGATTATTTGACACTGCATTTAATTGTTGTTACCATTATTAATTACCACAATTAATTGGGATCATTTTGGTTTAATGGGAGCTAGCAAGTTAATCCAATTTCTCTTTCACAATGACACTTACATGAAGGGAAGATCTTCAGAATCAGTAGCCATCTGAACCAGAAGAGGATCTTTTCCCTTATTATTATCCGTTAAAAAAAGATGTCTTCCTGTTCTTCCCAGCATCCATGAAGCACGAGAAGCCGCTTTCTCCATGGAGTAAAGTCCACAGAATGCAGGGACCTGCCACAGTTAAATTCCAAACAAGATTTATAAAATGTTCGCGAAGTTTTAAAAACAAAAGGGGAGAAAACAAAGACTGGAAATTAAGTTACCTGTTTGTGTCCCCTGCAACCAAGATGAGGTGTTGCAATGGTTATGAAATTCACAGGTTCCAGTCCAGCAATGTTACCTTTCCGTAAGACGCTACTATTACATTTACATCCATTTACTGTGACACCCTCTCCATTACGCTTTTCTGCACAACCTTGACTGTATAGTTTGGCAATGGCATATCTTGATATCAGACCTCCAAGTGAGTGACCTATAAACGAAATCTTTTGAAGGTCTGGATAACGTTGTACGACGGATATAACCTAGGAGAAAGAAAGAAAAACATCATTTTTTCCCCATGTTTCCAGTTCGAATCTTAAGAAACACAGTTATAGAAACATAAGGATCATGTCAAGAACATAAACTAGGGTCTAAAAATCTATTAAAAAATACATTTGGCAGACAAGCGAACATTTTTATACACACCTCGTGAGCTAGCCTCCTCCCCGTTACGTCAATGCCATCAAACGTTAGCGTTTTAGAATTTGATTTGCTGCCTGGAAATAGCAAATCAGTTAAGTGGTGGTTTTAAATTAATATACTCTGTATTAGGAGTGTAACAGATGAATTTTAATTGATTTAGAAAATTAAAACATGCATTTAGGGGCACTGTTTTGCTCGGATTGAGCTTAACTAAGAACTACAATGAGAACAGATTTTATAAAATGCTAAAAATCAGCAGTAAGAATAAATAAAAAAACGGGTATGAACCATAGAGCTTACAGTGAACAATGACATCTTTTGGAAAAGCTCTCACAAATTGCTTTGCAGAAAATTTCCAATTCTCAGCACTGCAGGAGAACAAGTAATTAGACATTGATTATCCCAAGTCATCACAATAACTGCTCCAAGAAAAAGTCTTTTTACACAAAATAAAAAGAAAAAAGGGGGGGGGGGGGGGGTGACATTTCAATCTCTAATTACATTCTTCATAAGTAGTTAAAGTATACCTGCCTATAATGCCATTGACCATAACAACCAGGTGAGTTGACCGTTGACCTTTTCCGGCAGCCTCCACGTCGAGGCCTCCATCGCCGTCCGGCCGCTCCTCAGTCGGCACTTCTTCATCCAGCCTCATACACGGGAAGAGATAAGACCTCTTCTTGAACCTCCTTTTTCCATTGATACTCAAAGTGCTGTTCTTCTTATTCTCAGCCATACCCATCTCAGAATCTGCTTTTTTGAAGGAGAAATCTGGTTCACTCTTCACTTCCGACGCCATTTTCAAAAGAAACCAATAAATTAAAAGAAATTCTTACTCAGCTAGCTCTGGGTAAAAAAAACCCAGAAGAGGTTTGGCATTTATATGGCCACCGGTAAGACTGCTCTGAGAAATGAAGGACCTTTCTGCTTTGAAGTTTTCGGGCACTGGAAATCTTGTGAGGGATAAAAGAGAATTAGTCAACATTCACATTTGATGACGCAAGTGGTGGTGCATATTCATTGGTCATGAGCAATACCATCCTTTTTTCATATTTTCTTTCCTTCTTTTTTTCTTACTTTTCTCTTTTTTCTAAATTAAATTTTTGTTCACAAGCGTTGCGCAGTTGTCAAAAACATAAAGAATTGCGTTCGATTCCTTACAATTACATTGAGAGACTCGAAAGTACAAGAGCAGATTTCACTCTGCCACCAAACTACGATTAAAATTTAATTTACTCCCCCGTCCCTATTTAATCACAACACTTGCTTTTTAAGCAGTGTCGGGAACTTTTGTTTATTTTGACGTTTTCATTGATTATTTGATAAAATAAAATATTCTTGACACCTCTTATTTCGAAGAACTTTTCATGTAGCTTTTTTACATGTAAATTTTATTTTTTATTTCTTTACCAATATGTAAATAAAATGAATTGAAAAAACTTGATATTTTGCTTCGGGAATACAAATGTGACAAATAATTTAGGACGGAGGGAGTATTTCTTTTCTTTTCTCAATGACCATTCCACGAAGGCGTAAGGACTCATCCTTTTTTCTAAATCAAATTCTCTTGAAATATTCTTAAGCCACGTGGGATGAACTGTGCTGCTTTTTAGCTCCATGTGCAGTGGAATAGCGGCGGCGACACCGATCAAAACAAAGCGCCGTCGGTATAGGGCGGAATCTATGTTTGAAATCATGCTAGGGTGCCACCACATGGGTGCTACCATAGGTGCACCCATGCTTCGTACAGACAAACATAAACGATAATTGTCTGTGTCGCACAGACAATTATCGTCTGTGTTTATATGTGCGAAGCATGGGTGCACCCATGGTAGCACCTATGTGGTGGCACTCTAGCATTTTCCTTGAAATTATGAATGCGGAGACAAAGACTAGATTAGAGAAGAGGGCTTAGTCTAATCCCTCCAACTAACCTACTCATAAACAGTTTAATGATGAATTTTCTCCTTCATCAATGCAAACCCATTACCCAGCACCCATCTCTAGAAGACTTTCTGATAATGAAAGTTAAACCCATCAAATAAAATTCCTAAAATCTCATGGAAAGTCATCAACAAATCTTGAAGAAAATCTAAAGACTTACTCCCGCCCTCCCAAAACATCTACTCCCTCCATCCCAATTTAAATTGCACGTTTTGAATTTTGGGCATATTTAAAAAAAATAAAAAATAGAGTTGATTTCTCAAAATTGTCATTACTTTTTAGAAGGGGTGATGATGAATGAGAAGATAAGGTGAAGAAGAGTGACTTATTTTAGGGGTAGTTTAAGTATTTTATTTTTAAAAGTTTACGAAAACAACTAACAGACAACTTATTTTGGGACGGAGAAAAAAGGCAAACAAGCAATTTAAAATGGGACGGATGGAGTATCAAATTAAGCAAAATCTAGTGAAATTTTAAGTATTTTCTAATTAATTTTATTTAAAAATAAGTATTGAAATAATATATAAAATTTACATATTTAAAACTACATCAAAAAATTTTCAAAACAGATAAGAATATTTTATTTTAAAAAATAAACGATGAAAACATAAAAATAAATAAAAATTCTTATTAAGGAATATCTTTTACTATCCACATATTTCTTTACCAGAAATAGAGGAATGGATAATTTAGAAATGAACCAAAAAATTTAGGTTACTTTATTAACCAAGCAATACAAGTAGTTGTATACTACATCTGTCCTTCGGTATTAGTCAAATTTTGATTTTTTGTAGTCAAAATTGACAAATTTTAACCATTAATTAAATAAAACTAATACTCCGTGTTAAATATTGATACAAAAACTATTTTATTAGATTTATTTTAGGAAATATATTCAAAATATTGTTTTATCGAATTAACGTACCGTATAATTTTTATTTAATTATAAGTCAAATGTTAAATGCAATTGCTGTAAAAAGTCAAAATAGAAGAATATTAAGGGTCGGAGGTAGTATTCTGTATCCAACAAAACAAAAAGTGAAATTTTTACTGAATAGGACTAAAACATAAGTCATTTCCCAATGTAAGATTTAAACTTTTTTATTCCCTAAATAAGACTTAATAATGACTAGGTAGAAGAATAATGTTCAAATAATGATAGACTTTAGTTGAATAATAACTAATAGATAATGGCTAATGGTCCTACATTGGGAAATAAAAACACAGTCCTGAGAAAGTCATTATGTTTTAGTCCAAACAGAAATGCATAGCTGTATTGTCAAAATTTCCGAGATTATTGTTGGTCCGGCCAGCCACTAATAACACCCTTCTGTGAAGAGGATGCATGGGAAGATGAAGATAAATGAACTCACAAACCAACCATATGATTAGGCCGTTGGAACAATCACAGAAATTCCTCACTCAAATCCTCTCTGATCATCAGATGCTTCTGCCAAAACTGGCCTTGTCCTTCTGCAATCTCTATGCTTTTTAAAACTTCTGATCATCTTTGACTGGCTAGGGAAAGCATTCTTGATGAAATGAATATTGAACACAACCATGTTTTGCATATTTCCTTGAGAAATGGGACCTCAAGAAATGCCACATGTTTCTTTATAGCATCTTTTTCCAAGTTCAAGAAAATAAACTGCTTGATCAATGCAAACCCACCCATCTCTTAAAAGCCAAAGCAGCTTCCCGTTTTTTAAGCAGGGCTTCGGTTTGGACCTTGGGATCCTTTCCCTTGTGAAGTGTTCTATGGTACTTCAAGAAGAGGGCACGATATTTGTACTTATCAACAAACATTTTCCCATTCTCTATAATCTTCACAACTTCATTTGCTCTTGTGAAGAAGCCGCCTCTCACAAACGTGTAAAGCACCCCATCCAACAGCTCCTCGTCAAACTTCATTCCACCACAAGACGCAATCGATTTCATTTGACCCCATAAATCTGCCACCTCCGTGTACTGTCCACCCACGGCAGCATAGCCAGTGACCAAAGAATGAAACGTTTGTGCATTTGGAGAGTGTCCCAAACTCCTCATTTTTTTGAAAGCCTTTTCGGCATCTGTCATCAGATGTTTTTTACAGAAAAAATGAATCACGCTGTTCCACTCATGAACTCCGTAATCTACTTTTTGCCCTTCCTTTATTTCTTGCAAGAGCTTTGGCATCAAACCAGCTTCTTCTCCATTTCCATCTATAGGCTGAAACCCTTTATGCCCAGATCTTGGGATTTTGGCTTCTTTCATCTCCTTGAACAAGTGAAGGGCTGACTGAGTATCTTTATGAAGCAACTGTGATTGGATCAGTATGTCATAACAGCTTGCGTCTAATTGGACACCGGCTCTACGAGCATCTCGAAGAAGAGATGCCACTTCTCCTGTCCTTTTCTCTTTGCAGTATGCCTTCAACAGAGAAGAATAAACAGAAGAACCTGTTTTAACGCCGGCCAAGCGCATTTCATCAAGAAGATCATGAGCCAGATCTAACCACCCAAGTGAAATGCACGAATTGATTGATTGAACCAAGACTGAATCATCAACAGAAACAGGGGAATCTTCTTTTTCAACCTTGGTTAGGAAGTACACCAGATCCTGTGCCCTGCCGGCTTCTAGGAAAGCCTTTACTAGTTTCACATATATTGTTTCTGTGGGCTGGAGTATTCCATGCTTGCTAGTTATCAATTCAATTTGGTGTTTCAACTTGGCCAACAAGTTATCAAGCAACTCTTCTGCCTCAGCCTGAAGTTTAAAAAACTTCCTGTCCCTACAGAAATCTTGAAATGATAAGATCTTTTTTCGCTCTTTGTCCTGATTTCCACTGTATAAATCTCCTACAGATACATCATCCTTATGGTTTGATGAACGGTTGCACCTCTGAGAGCTTTCAAACAGTAGATTAGCCACACCAAGGGAATTTTGAGCTTTCTTTGCCTTGCGAATCATTTCTAGGACCATCTGGGAGGCAGAGTCAAGATCTCCTGAATTCAAATGGCATGCAAGCAGACAGTTGTAGAACTGTCTAACTTGGGTATCAGTTAGGTCGTGGGCCTCGTCAACGTGTCTCTTGAGCTTCTTCAGCTCATCCAGTCTACCATTCTGCTCGTAAATATGAGCCATAATAATCAATAAGTTTGTGTCGGCTTTCATGTTGATCCGAGGCATCATGTCAAGAAGTTGCTCCGCTTTTCTGGTTGTGCCGAACAGAACACATCCACCTAAAGATAAGTTGAATGAAGTAATATTGGGCTTCATAGCAATCAGGGGTGAATTGGTCTTTTTACGGGGGTCGACTCTTCCATCTTGAAACAGATAACCTATTTCAAGAACCAGCTCTGCAGCAAGATAAGCTCCTTCGGGAGTTTGTGACATATGGCCTATGATTGCAGACCAGGCACCCACAGGTGGAAACATCTCAGCCTCAACAAGCTTCCTGAGAAGAGTAGATGCTGGAACAGGCAATCTGCATTTTGAAAGTGCAAACGAGAGATAAATCAAACTTTCTTTCTCCAATAGATTAATCTGGTCATCCTCAAAGATTTGCTCAACTAGGGCATACGCCTTTTCAAGCCACTTAACTTCTAAATTTTCTGCACATGATGTTAACAGTCTGTTCACAAGTGATTTCCTAGGGAGCCCATCCATCTGGATATGTCTTTCCAGAAGCTCCCAAGCATACAAAAAGTTGGGCTCATCAATTGCGCGTTCTAAATCCTCACTCATTTTACCCAGGTCTTGAGCCTGGACAAGGATAGTCCCAGACATTGTTGAAAGTGATTGAGAGAAGAAATGCCGAAACCGAACCACATTACTTTGGTGGCTTATGTTGGTCGATGATGAACCAACCACCCGATTAATAAGCTTTAAATTCCCATCACCACGAAATGGGCATCTATAGATGAGCCTACCGCTGCAATTAACAAGCACCAAATCTAAAGAGGAAAGGGCAAATTTTGCATTCAGGTGACTCAGTTTCCTAATCGACACCATCCCTCAGAAATAACTTTGCTTAGTCCATCAGATATTTTTATCAGCCAATGAAGTTTAACAGCTTTGCAATACACAAGTTTCTGTCACCTACAAGAACAAATTAAAAAGAAAATCAGTTAACATACTCTAAATACAAAGTATAATAGCTTAAGACTGTAAAAACAAACTAGAATAAAAATCTTGAATAAACCAGGAGCAAAGACATCATCTTTCTCTATTCTATTAAATCTGTCTATGATCTATCTATTAAAAAATGGTGTTTGCTGTCCAAATTTTAAGAATATAGCGAAGAAAATACTTTGTTGAAACGAGGAAATAAGATCTGCAGAAGAGTGATGTTTCATACCCATGTTCGACAATAATGATAAAAACACCTAATCGTGTATTCCTGTCTGGATAATTTGAAAAAAGACAAGATTTTTGTTTGAGAAAATTTGAAGATGAGCCAAGAAACTAGACACCTGGACAGGATATGGAAGAACCGTGAGATGGAAGGGAAGAAGAAAGCAGAAGGGAAGGTATGCTTCGTTTGGCAGGAGCCGCAACAGTCAACACACAGCCCCTGTTCCCCTGCACCGTACCCCAACCCGGGTGCGTCACCCAAACCCGCAGACGGAAAACCGCCCGGCGAAATTGAAAAATTGAAAGAGCACAAGACAAAAGCAGAGTGAAAATGGCCAAATGGGTTTGCTCAGTTTCTTCGGAATCGATGAAGTAGACGAGATCTCTGTTAGCTTATTCCGATAAGGGTCTATTCCTAAGTTCCAGTATAATATGGACCACTTTTTTAAAATAGGTCTTATTATACATTTTATACGTTCGTAATACGTATACGGATACGTTCGTGTATTATACGTCTGATATTTCAAAAATACGGCTTATAATGAATGCATATATTTTTAATAAGAAACACATTTTAAACTTTGAAATTGAATTAAATACATCATAAAGTTCTAAAAATTTAACCAACACTACGATTTATTGTTTATTCATTTTTTTCATGTGTACCCAAAGGAGATCTTTCAATCTAATTATTATTGTGTACTTTCACAAAATGTATTCAAAGTAAGAACACATTCTGAAAAATGAAGCCAACATTATTTAAGACATGAAAAATTTATATTATTA